TTCTCTTCTTTACCTGTTCACAGTAATTGAGTTTCTCCTGTAGTACTGTGTTGATGGTTCGGGAACAAGTGGACACCTGAACGCATACACACGACCTCGAGATAGATTCCAACTTGGGTTATTGTCGACATTATAAGAGTACAGTATATCCTGTTAGGGAGTTTATGTCAGTAGTGATTATTGCTCATTGTTCATTGTTCATGTGTGTGTGTGTTGAGGAGATACGAGGAGGTGGGGGTGAGAGGAGGAGATGGAAGTGGGGTGACGGGGAGGCAAGGAGGTGAGGGGAAGGTTAGGAGGTGGAGTGAGGAGAGGTTGGATGATGGAGAGACAAGGAGGTTAGGGGAAGGTTAGGAGGTGGAGTGAGGAGAGGTGGGATGAGGGGGAGGCAAGGAGGTGGAGTGAGGAAAGGTGGGATGAAGGGGAGACAAGGAGGTGGAGTGAGGAAAGGTATAATAGGTAAATTCTTAGTCTAGGATCTTTCTTTTTTGTTGCTGTAGAGAGAAAGTCCGGGTGACAGAACATTAATGGTTGAGGATCGATAGTAAAATGTCCCAAATATAAATCCTCTTTCTTACACATATACCAACCCCACTATCCATAATAGGTTAGGTTAGGTTAGGTTAGGTTAAACTGAGTCACGGGAATGAATCTACGAACTTAAACCCTGACTTTCACTTGGGATCGATACTGCTTCACTTATCTCATTGTTGAAATAGAATAGTATTAGGAAGTACTCAAGCCCATAATGAAGAGTACCAACATATTTTCTGGTAATCTTCCACCAGCTGAGTACTGATTGAGGGATGGGGTGGGGAGGTGTTGTTGACGTGGCAGCTCCGGGTGAGGCAGAGGGAGTTAATTCTGGCTTCCTACACGTTAATTGTCCCGGATATGAAGCTATTGGTTGTGATCGATGTGGTGTGATTGCCCCCTTCCCCTCTCTCTCCCTCTCTTCTCTCTTCTCTCACTTTGTCACTGTCTGTCTGTCTGTCTGTCTGTCTGTCTCTCCCACCACACACACACACACACACGCGATTTAATCTCTCTCCCACACTCTAAGTCTCTCTCACACACACACACACACACACACACTCTCTCTCTCTTTCTCTCTCTCTCTCCCAAAACTACTTAAAACTTCTCTCACTCCCACTCACTCTCTCTCTCTCTCTCTCCCTCAGGGGCGTGGCGTTAGAGGAGGTGCAGAAGTTCGTGTCGTCACTCAGCTGCTGTGCCTACGTGGAGACCTCAGCCAAGAAGGATAACAACGTCGACAAGCTCTTCTACGAGTTATTCGTCCTTGCCAACCTGCCCATGGAGATGTCCCCAGCACTCCACAAGCGTGTGTGTCCCGGCCAGACGACGTAAGTGTCACGGCGGGAGAATGGAAGAGGTGAGGGGGTGAGGGGGGAGGGGGAGAGGGGAGGGGAGGGGGGAGGAAGAAGTGAGTAGAAAGATTGGAAAGATATGGGGGAGGGAACGTATGTGTGTGTGTGTGTGTGTGTGTGTGTGTGTGTGTGTGTGTTTGTGAATAGACATACACACACACACACACACACACACACAGAGACACCCAGGGCGAGGTTGAAAGAGAATACGTGATCGGCCGAGTAGATGGCGACACCCTCTCCTTGGGGCCCATCCATCTTTATGCTGCTGGTCCCCCTTCCATCCTACTCTTCCTCCTCCTCTTCCTCCTCCTCTTCCTCCTCCTCTTCCTCCTTTCTCCTTACCTTCCTTAATGATGATTTCCAATACCTTTCACCTCCTCTGCCCCACCCTCCACTCACCAGCCTAATCACTTCAATCAACGTTGACTCTCCCGACCCACGACCTCCTATACGACCCCGCGACCTCTATGACCCGACCTCTATGCGACCCTGACCTCTGTTCTCGGCCCGGCCTCCTGCCGACCCGACCTCCTATCGGCCCACGACCTCCTGCCGACCCGACCTCCGCCTGGCCGACCTCTACGGCCCGGCCTCTATGCGACCCGACCTCTATACGACCCCACGACCTCTATACGACCCCACGTCCTCTATACGACCCCACAACCTCTATAACAGGAAAAGGACATGAAAGATATTAGCATCTGAACACACATTATGTAGGATCAGACTCACTTTTTAAGACAATGATTTATACATGGATAGAGAATCAGGAGCTGAACCTCTTACTTCCTTCTTATCCAATCAAAACAACTCATAATACACACACACACACACACACACACACACACCAATCCTCTCTCTCTCTCTCTCTCTCTCTCTCTCTCTCTCTCTCTCTCTCTCCTCCCATGAGAGCAGGAACACGTACGACTGTGACCATTGTAAGTGTGTGAGTCCTGTTTACTACCAAAGCCAGGCAGGTGAAGCAAGTGGTTTAGGGGCCAGTCAAGTCAATGGTTAAGGGTAAGGGGCCAGTCAAGTCAATGGTTAAGGGTTAAAGGGTCAGCCAATTCAATGATTAAGGGTTAAGGGTACGAGGTCACATAAGTCAATGGTTAAGGTTCAAGAATTAGCTCTTCATTACCTCACGTCTTCCTTCCCCATTACCTCACGACCCCATTACCCAACGACCCCGCCTCCCTTAATTACCCCACAACCCCCCATTACCTCACGAACCCATTACCCAACGACCCCGCCTCCCTTAATTACCCCACAACCCCCCATTACCTCACGACCCCATTACCCAACGACCCCGCCTCCCTTAATTACCCCACAACCCCAATTACCTCACAGCCACCATCCTCAGTTTCAGGTTGGATTCTACTCACCCAGTTGACGTCAAACACTAAATGATTCCCAAAAATAACTTAATTAGCTCTATTTTTAGAGTTTTTGTGACGCCTTTCTTGTTTTCTTTATCAATTATTTTATGCGAGGCTTTTCTTGTTTTCGCATTTTATCAATTATTCCATTTCTCTTTATTTATCCGTTTGTTTCTGTAGATAATTATATACGAAGATGATGATAAAGAGGGGAAAAGAATAATAATTGAAGCAGATATTTTGAAAACATAATTAAGAGGATAATTAATATAAGCACTGGATATCTTGCCACCACCAACCTCTCTCTCTCTCTCTCTCTCTCTATCATCCATTCAATCAATTACTCGGTTAATCTGTCACTCACTCACTGATTCATTTACCATCCCATCCTAACTAATTGGCTCTCTCTCTCTCTCTCTCTCTCCTCGCACTCTGTTTCTTCCTCCACCCCCTCCCTTACTTTAAGCCCTCCCTCCCTCTCTCCTTCTACCCCCCCTCTCTCAGTGCCCCCTCCCCCTTCCCCCGTGTCTCTCCTAGTCACCGCTAAAAGCTTTCAACAGCTAATTCGATTCAAACGAAATCGCATCACTGTCCTGTTATGGTTGGGGGCGAGGCGCTGGTTGCCCTTCTGCTAAGTCATCCTCACAGACTAACTCGATAGTCTGTTCACCCTAAGCTTGTAACTGGTGCCTAGGGCCAGTTTGTACCAAGGCAATTGATTGGTTCATGTACAAACACCCAAAAAAACACGACAGTTCTTTATTATCACAGTATTTATGTTCTGATTTTTAAGACATAATAACTTTTCTATGTTGATCTGTGATAATTTCCACACTTGGGGAAATAAAAATTACCATGTAAAATGCTCTGGTTTAATTAATATCTTGAGGAGTAGAAGAAAAGACTCCACCACCTCGATCCGGATGTCCCTTGGCGAGGAAGAGGTTACATCACATATTCTTTATATCATGTTCGTGTTATCTTTATGATTTGTTTATTACCAGTGCATTTCACACGCTAATTTTTGCTTCCCCAAGTGCGGAAATTATCACAGATCAATATAGAAGTTATTATCCCTTAAAATATCAGAATATAAATACTGTAGAAGAAATACTAATGAACAGTAAACATATTCACGTTTCCAGCCTTTTCATTCTATCTAGAGGTAAAGAAATATCCGTCCAGTGGGATATTAGAGTCTACATGTGGATGTGATATGTATTTCATGTGTGTTATTGAGTCAGGTGTACGGATGTGGAGGAAAGTGTTTTTGCTTGTGGATGTGATATGCGTTTCAGGTGTGTTAATGAGACAGGTGTGGATGTGCACTTGTGTTTAATGGGTAAGAAGGCTTGGTACACGTGTGTCACTGAGTCGGATTAAAAATATGTGTGCAGATGTTAAGTTAATTTAAACATGAGGACCAGAATTACCTGGGTTATTATTTGTGTGTATGTGTGTGTGTGTGTGTGTGTGTGTGTGTGTGTGTGTGTGTGTGAGTGAGTGAGTGAGTGAGTGTGTGTGTGTGAATGTACTGTACAGTCAACTACTAAATCCGTTCGCCTCTTCCGTATGAACCACGAACCCCAGAGATTGAGACTTGTGAACCCGAAGCAGGAGAATGACACAATATTCTATACCATAAATGCTTCGGATTCATGTGTCTGAATCTCTCGGGGTTCGTGCTGGTTCATAGGGTGAGGTGAATGGACTTTACTAGATGACTGTCCAATAAAGTGGCAGTATATCTATCGATCCATGCAGCATATGGTGATGTGAACTTCTATCGAGACAGTTAGCCAAACAAATCACAACCAACTACGGCGATTTATTCCCGAGTTATCATGACACACAGAGAGGGTCAGTTAAATAATAATGATAAAAAGAAATACAGATAAAAATTAAATGATATAAAAGGAAGAGAGATTAAAACAAAAAATAAATAACTCATTTACCTTCAATCTCTCCCTTATTTTCCTCGTTACCTACGCATACAACGGGTCCTCAGTCACGCAGATGAGACCCTCTAAAATAACAATAATCTTTGGAGAGCCTTGGCCAACGACCCTGGGGCTATTTTTGGTCGCCTGCTCGCAGTGTTTGTCTGACGGTTCGTGATTGGAAGGTCGCGAGTGTCGTGTCCTCATGACCAAGTGACGCAGTATGATGATGGAGGCAAGGTTAGGGGGGTTTATCTGTTATGGTGGTGGTGGTGGTGGTAACATTGACAACTTGCCTCTCTCTCTCTCTCTCTCTCTCTCTCTCTCATCCGTGTACTTAACAATCCACTTAACCTTTCACTCATTAACTCACTCATTGACTCACTTACTGTGGTGTACGAGACTCCTGTACACACTTACGATCTCGTTTCAGTCCCAGTTCCTCTCTCATTAACCGTCTCCAATGTCGTGGGGAGACGGGAACTCTTAGTTTATTTCTGTCTCGGTAATTAATTCTCCACCCTCTGTCTTTTCCGCAGGCAAGAGTGCGGCAGCAGCAGTGGGTCGCGACACCGAGGCCTCTCCATCCGCAGGCGGCTGAGCGAGGCGTATGGCATGGTAGCACCTAACGTCCGCAGGCCATCTATCCGCACCGACCTGCTCATCCTGCGGGCCAAGACCAGCCTACACTTCAACGGCATAGACACCTTCTCGGACAAGAAGCCCCGGCGAGAGGTGTCCTGTGTTATCCAGTGAATCCCTCGAGGTGTTGTCTGGTGAGGTCAAGGAGTGAGACTCACGGGTCGACTCCCTGTGAAACTTTTGGCACATCCTACCTGGAGGTGGTCGCAGCGTCTCCATGGAGATGCTGACAGTGTTTACTGTTGGGGAAGTCCTCCACTAAGGGCGTCAACTGATGAGACGCTGAGGGTACTCCACAGTTGAGTGATGGGAACGTCTCCCGGTGGCGTCTTCCACCTGTGCAAAGTGACCTGCTGATTGTTGTGAACGCCGACTGTACTGTACATGTAGCTCACGAGGTTGTATGTGACAGTGTTGACTATAGAACGTCTAAAGTGATGTATCATTAACACAATATTCTGAACGTAATGTGTGAAGGAGATGGTTAATGTTTGGTGACGTTTGGTGTAGAAAAAAACCCATCGTTGTGAGTGAACTAAAGAATAATGTGTCCTGTTTGGGTAATAATAACCGTAACGACTTTCCTTAATGCAGTGAAGAAAAAAAACTTGAGTATATTGTGGTAAGCGAAGATTTTTTAGGGGTCATTTTTTTCCCCTGTACTTGGGTGGTTGGCTCGGCTTCGATAAACTATTTTCCTAAGAGAGATATAAGTCTCCCATCATGTACAATATGGTGTTTAAATCTTTCGTTGCGTTTTAGCACATAATATATATTTTATTTTTCCTAGTATAACATTCATTTTAGCGTCTCATGTTCCGTGTAAGCTATCCATTATGAGTTTGTGATATTTATGTGGAGAGTATTATAGATTGTTAGTAAATATACCTCATGTCATCAATATATATTTTGTATATGTTGTGAAACTCTCTGTACCAGTTCAGCTTAAGGCGAGAATATAGGCCTACTGAGGTGTGTCATCCTGAGAGCCACACACACACACACACACACACACACTCACACACACACACACACACACACACACACACACACCACGTTTATTCCTACATGAGGTGACCGAACATAGTGGAAGCTGGAGATCAATGTTTAACTAACACTCTCACATGAACGACCCGTGTGTTAGATATACTCGTTCATTAGTTGACAAATTATGTGTATAAAATAGACCTCATCTGTTAGAAAAGTAATATTGACTGTTGTTGTGCCAAGGAGCCACTAAGAAACGCTTCTTGGTAGACTCGACCAGTGTGAACACCACAACACACGTCTTCACCTACTACTACTACTACTACTACTACTACTAATACATCAACAACAACAACAACAACAACTACTACTACTACTACTACTTTATCTGAAGTGTCCTTAAAGAAGCACTTCAGATGTAGTACCTTCCCCAGTTCTCATTCACTCCACACATGGCTCCATCATTCACTCACAGACGGCACCACCAAATACATTTAATATTACTTGATATTTTATTTCTCTCGGTGGTTTTACATTTTTTGAGTCACTTTGAGATGAATCTAAAAATAGAGAAAATTTTCCCACAAATTTATGCCAGAAACATTACTACTACTACTACAGCTACTACTACTACTACTACTACTACTACTACTACTACTATTTCTGCTACTTGCCTCACTTGATCTTAAATGTTCCACTGACTTAATCTAACTTAGGAAGAGCGTCTGTGATGATTAGATACTTCACCAAGAACACAATTTGAAAGATCGAAAGTTTGAAACATGAGAGAAATTTTTATACGTGACTTTACGACTAACTTACTGACGGAGAAGATATTGTCTTGTCACCAGAGACGAATAAAAAGCAAACTACTACTACTACTACTACTTACGTGGCCTTCAACCTCCCCTTATAGCCACACCTTCGTCACTACTACTACTACTACTACGACTACTACTACGACTACTACTACTCGTTCGCGTTTGTTTCGTCAAGGTATAACAGTGGAAATAAGTAAAGTAAGAGGTTAGAGAACATTACGTCACTTATCCCTGCCAGCAGCTGTGGTCTGGAGGCGGCGGGCGCTCATCCTCTCACCCATACATCTGTTTATGATATTTATATGTCGTTTATATTCATAATAAACTACGAAAATCTTAATTGTCTTTTATTGTTTCCCTACTACAGGTATCAAATGCAGTGTGTGTGTGTGTGTGTGTGTGGAGTAATCCCTGTGAGTCCTCTGGTTCAGTTATGATTTTCAACCCATAGATGGAGCTTCTTACGGCACTAGTTAAACAACACGGCGCCTGGTATAGTTGCCGTGAGGGTCCCAATAGGTGGAGCTGATAATGCCTGGCGACTTTATACACAAACCTCTAATGTGAGATCAAAATTAAATTATGATAAAAAAAAAACATATAATTGAGAGACCAATACCGTGAGTAGGTCTATACGGAGAGCAAAGCGGTCTGAGGAGATAGGAGTAAAAACACTGGTAAGACGGTCAAGGAAGACGGTCAAGGTCGGCGATAAACTGCAGGCAGGGACGCTAGCAGGAGTCTGGCAGCCACCCAGAGAGTTTTCCTTACAGTCAGCAGAGTTATGACTTTGTACTTGAACACAGAGACGAATATTAAAGCTTGGTGTAATCTTAAACAATTCTTTCTTCACAACAACACCAAGTAATGTTCTTAAGGTCACCTCAGACCCATTTTATTCAGTGTCATTATAAATAGTAGTCATAAAACAGATTTAAAACAACAAAAAATATAAGAAATACTAGTTTATAGTTTGCTGACAATATACTGTACATGAAGTAACAGCCACAGTCTTCCCGTGTGGCTTATGGACTGAGCCAACCACAGACACACAGCTGTAATGAATCCACTTGGTCCAGGAAAGGCGGAACAGCAATCCATACCCATAAGAGCTAAGGAATTATCTTCTTATGGTTTCTCTTGTCAAACTTTCCACTACGATATCAATTACGAGGCAGAGTGATCACCCCTGAACTCGTGAATCAATAACATCTTCACTACTTCACCTGTCTGTACCCACGTTATTATCAATGAGACCTAGAGTTGTATCATCAGGTTATGTTATGTTATGTTTAGGTTAGGTTAGGTTAGGTTAGGTTATCATTTAAAATTCTAATAAGGTCGTATATGTAAACAATATATTCCTCTGACATAGTTATTAATAAACATTGTTTTGAACTAAGATAACACATCACTATCACTGTTTTAATCATATCAATATTATCTTTACTTTATCTAAACACATTGTCCTTTATATCATGAAAACAAAAATCATCATATATCATAAACACCCAAATTATATCCCCAAAAAGCAACTAATTAACGGAAATGCATGTTTTAATGTTGACATGTGTGTGTGTGTGTGTGTGTGTGTGTGTGTGTGTGTGCGTGTGTGTGTGTGTGTGTGCGTGTGCGTGTGTGTTTAGTTACAGTTGATAAAAAAAAACATTCTATCATATATACAGTATATTTCACACCCCAGCGAGGAGGCTGTCTCGTGCAGTGAAGGAAGATTGATTTTCTGATTTGTAAAGGAGGTTAGTTGGAATGGGAAGATGAGGAGGAGGGGGAAGGGGAAGGGGTAGGGGGGAGGAAGGGGGGGAAGAAGGATTGGGAGGAGAAGGATTGGGAGGAGAAGGATGAGGAGGAGGGGGAAGGATGGTTGGTATAACAAGGGGGGATATCTAACAGGTTCTTACGACGGGGTGAAGACCGGCTCTCTCTCCTCAAACCAGTCTATTCCTCCGCCTATGTACTGTACTTGTCACCCCTCGGAAGCTAACAGTTCGTACCTGTTGTAATGATGATACTTGGTTTGAGCTTCCTTACTTTTTTCCTTACTTTCTTCCTTCGGTGTTTTGCTTTCTCCTTCACCCTTCCTCTTCTCTACCCTCTTCCCGCCCCACAACTTGCAGTCTCCCCTCTACTCCAACAATCATTTCCTCCTCACACCTATAAACATCATTAATGAGCTGTGGCTACCGAGTGGAGTCAGTGATCACTTTCTGTCTTACGAGTAACTGGTGCAACTAACTTTACAGCTGAGGAAAGTGAAGAGGGTCGAGTACAGTGCCGGCTGGAAGGTTATAGTCTACACTGCCTTTTGACGAACCTTCATGTCTAGGGCTCCAGCTATACCATGTATCTTAAGAAACAGGAAGCGTAATCAATCCTCCTCCCAACACAGGAAACTAATTTACTCCTCATTCAGACAAGAGAAATTCATTTATCACAGTATCATACAAACAGTCAAATCAATTATCTTCCATCGCTGCCTCACTCAGACTCAGAAAATCAATTTTTGTCAATTATGGTGAAACGTTAAGACAATAAAGTCAAGCCGAACTGTTGCCTCTGAAGGAGAAAGATGGAGTTATTTTTAGGTGTGCCCTCTTGGGTAAAGTTTGTCTAGTGTTATGACCAGCCGGTGAAGCTTCCCCCAGTGGCCTTGTGGTGTCGGGACTCAAGCTGGGAGAAACGTCAATATCTGTGTGTGGTTATTTATATATATTTATCTGAAGGATTTGTAAATAAGCATTATCAGAAAATATATCTTGAACAATTTCGGGATTTTTCCACTTTTAAAAACAATCTGTAAAAGGTTGGTGAAATTCCTTCGACACTGAAGAACAATAACCAAATGTAAGTGGCCGAGGTGATCACACCCGTCCACGTCCAGAGGAAACACGAACGAGCGAACTTAGGTTACCGACTGTACTCAGTTTTATTAATTGTTGTTGAAACTGAGGCTCCGTGAATTGTACTTAACAACCTTGCCTGAGCTAAAACACTCACAACAAAAGCAACAACAATGACAATATTTTTGACAAATTTGCTTTTTTTTTTTACATACAGGAAATATTGCCGCTGTTACACGTGTCTCTTTCCACACCTGTTTAATGTTTCCTTCACCCTCCCCCCTCCCCTCCCATACACAAATCATATGTATAAATAAAAAAGATCTATCCATTTAATCTGAAGCTTCTCCCTCTCCTCCACCTTCTCCATCTCTCATCTTTACCCCCTATCCTTATCATCACGTGCAGTTGTTCATATGTGTGGGCGGCATATATCGTCTGTGTCATTCACTACCTAAACCGACTCTTGTGTGTTAATAAAAGCCTCACCACGCTGGGGGTCACGACTCAACCTCAGTTAACCAAAAGGCAGATTCTAATTCACCTTTACAACTGCCAGACGACACACAGTATGTAGTTCTCGAAATTAACATGGCACCCTGAGGCTAAAACGTCACATGCAAATTACAAGACTTGATATTAAATTCCTCCAATTTTCAGTAATGGACGAAGGATTGAATACCTTCATCATTGCAGTCAAACGTCTCTCTCTTAACGCCCTCCCAACCCCTCTATCCCATTTCCTACCCCCTACCTCCCTACCTCCCAACCTATTTCTCTCCCACACCACCCCCAACTCCCTCCCTAGCCCTCAACCCCCTCCCCTACCCTACCCCCAACTCCTCCCCCCCTCCAAAAAAAAAAATAAATAATGTTCCTCAAATCTGAAAATGAATGGTTTTTATCTCCTTTGTATAATGACAGAAGGACTTGTGTACAGGGGGAGCTTTTAGTTCTTGTTGAAGCTTAATAACATTAGTCGCCTCACGTGCACCAGCCACCTGTTTTTCATATTTTAAGTTAGAAAATATTGTGAGGTCAGAAATATATATACAGCCTTAATGAACCGTAACGTGAGTATCTTATTTTTAACCTTTAATGATGTTAGTTATAGTGAGGTCTTGATGACGATAGCCACACGATGATAGGTCTTGGGGTGGTCACGAATATGTGCAGTATACTGTATAATGTATATACAAGTCTGGTGATTATAAATATATATATATACATTTAACTTTGATGAACATATATACAGTATTTATAACAATGAATTATAAATATACCTGATTTTGTATAATGATTTCTAATAAATGACATTGTTTATGAAATCTATTCTTGATAAATATAAAGAATCAGTCTTTTATTAGATTACTGTACCAAATTACACCTTACCTGTAATTCATTTATAGTTAGTCTACCTGAAGGGGCAACCACTAGACAACATTCCCTGTTAATAAGCCATCTTACAAAGGTTACCTCCACCAGTCGTATCATTACTGTTGTTATTACTCTTCACTATGTATCAATATTTATTCTGGCTGGGAACGGTTTCAATTTGTAACCTCATGTGCACAAGCTATCTGTACTTGTAATCCCTGCCGTGTTTTGGTTACCTCATGTGGCCTCCAACAAGCTAAAACAGTTTGATTTTGAGAGGTTTTAGAGGTTTTCGGTGTCTGGTAAGGCGAGTCGCGTTGGTGAAGTGATTTGACGACGGGGTTTTTTGTCTGATTTCCCTCCTTGTGTTGGGTAGTTGATGAAGAGAAAGGAAAAATGTCAAGTTATCAGGAAATGTTAAAGTGATGTGTACTCAAGAGCTCATGAGGATATTTCACTTGATTGTTTCGGTTCCTTGGTGTTTCCTGTAGATCAAGGATGTCAACAGGTCCTACTTATCTCCTATAGCCCGGACCTATAGCAGCGAAAGTGTCTCCTAGAGTTTTCTCGCCTTATGTTCGGGTCTCCTATAGCTTATTCACCTTCAGCTAGTGTCTCCTACAGCTAGTAACTCTTATGACTATAGTAACTCCTACAGCCAGGATACCAACAGCTAGTGACTCCTCCAGCCAGGACCGCCAGCAGCTAGTGACTCCTCCAGCCAGGATACCAACAGCTAGTGACTCCTACAGCCAGGACCGCCACAGCTAGTGACTCCTAGCAGACTCCTACAGCCAGACGCCTACAGCTAGTGACCTACAGCACGCCTACAACTAGTGACTCCTCCAGCAAGGACGCCTACAGCTAGTGACTCCTACAGCCAGGACCGCCAGCAGCTAGTGACTCCTACAGCCAGGACGCCTACAGCTAGTGACTCCTCCAGCCAGGACCGCCAGCAGCCAGTGACTCCTCCAGCCAGGACGCCTACAGCTAGTGACTCCTCCAGCCAAGACGCCTACAGCTAGTGACTCCTCCAGCCAGGACCGCCTACAGCTAGTGACTCCTACAGCCAGGACGCCTACAGCTAGTGACTCCTCCAGCCAGG